TCTATGAAATCGGGTAAAACGTAATTTTGATAGTATATATTTTTGAGGCAACAGTACACTCTAGATAATGATTATTACGAAGAAAACAACTTGTTAAGTCGAAAATGGCAGAAAATGGTAGAGATATAGCATTATGTAGAATTTACCTCTAATAGTATTGTCAAATCTTCGACCTAACTCTGTTAACCTTAAAAAGAGCTGTAAGAAATTTTTTCTTAATTTAGTACTCATGTATGTATTAGATTCATTTGATATGTATTTAAATCGAATTAAGGTCTTTGCGATTTTGAATACTGTTATGTTATTATTTCAATTAGGTATATGTTGAAAATCAATCAGAAACATATATAATCTCTAATTGTTATATTTTATTAATTTTGAAAATTATTCATTGAAAATGCATATTTATATGTAATTAATAAGAATGAAAAATAGTTTCATTTTTTTGTTATAATTATTCAAAAAGAGGTAGAGAGGATAATACGGAGGAGGTAAAAATGGCGCAAGTACTAAAGGTTCTGGTAAAGGAAAAAATTATATGAGACCTGGATATAAAACTGCAGACAACCCATTTTATCTTAGATTTCAATACGAACTGCATTAAGGATATCAGTAAATATAACGTTTCTTATTATAGGAATATTTTAGATTATTTTTATTCTGATTATATATTCATAGCAATTTGTGTCATGTGTTTCTTCATGACAACTTAAAAAAATGGTATCCTCGCCCGATGAATTGTGTAGATATTGACTAAGTAAGTTGGCAGCAGAACAGTTGGCCATGTTGCAAACGGACTTTGATTACATTGTATAGCCTGTAGAGGTATGACCGAGGCTGTAGTGCAGCCACAAAGGTGTGGTGATCTCGTTGGGACTGTTACACCTCCTCTAGCAAAACATGTAACTAACACGCCTCGACGCCATCAAACACACACGTGGGAAACCGACCAAACAAAGTGAGAGACAACAAAAGATGTCGAAAACAAAAGAGATGAGAAAAGACATTGGAAACAAAAAAGAAATCACTCATTCATTCTTTGATTTTTCTTGAGAACACAGCCATAACTGCTGGAAGTGATAGTTTGATTAAACTACTGTGTACTTGACAAAGTTAAATAAATATATCACAAATATTGCTGAATATGCAGTTTCTTTCTACATAGTAAGTTGTCTACGAAAGATCCACAGTTGATGACCCTAACGTGATATTTGAGCATCAAGAGTTCCTAGTAAAAGGAAAACGTAATGGCGTAAGCTATCCTGCCTCAACATAAAACACTAGTTGCAAAAAAAAAAATTAATAAATAATAAATTCGAAAATTACAATCAGCATCATGTACAAAACACCTAAAAAAAACACAAATATCGAACACGATGTCAAAAGCTAACAGTGTATACAGATCTATTAGGATTCAGCGGAAATCTGAATCCGATCTCCATGAATCAACAACAACAGCAAATTAAACACACTGATGATATCAGTGGCACAGAGAATGCAGACGGCAAATGAACTCATTCTGAACAAACGAATCAAAACAACAACGGACAAAAAACATCATCAAACACTTCGATAGTATCACCCATCCCATCATACTTCTGATATGCAGAATTTACCCAATTATAAACTACTAGCTCTTAATAACATACAGCATGACAATTATCATTCGATATGTCAACCTAAATTGATGGCATTCATCAAAACTGGATTTCTGGTTTTCTGGATCTGGTTCGATTGGATCTCTGATTCATTTTGGCTGAATTTGAATTCACTACTTATAGAATTGTTGATGATAAAGTAAAATACCTAACAGTCATTAAGGCTCTTGACCACGACACGATCGAGCAGATTTCAGAGCCTGCTACAGATAAGTACAAAGCTCTCAAAAACGCGATAATTTCGCGACTCTCTGGTTACAAACAAAACCAAGTAAAAAAATTTTTACGTGAAACAACGCTTACAAATAGAACACCTCTGCTCCTGTGAATTGGCTAATGGTTCCGTTGATGATACTATATTGAACCAACTTTGGCTTGACGACTACCAGCACATATCAAACTGCATCTGATTACCGCAATTTCCGCTTGATGCTATAACCGAGCTTGCGGACGGTTTTTACAAGTTGATGCCCTACGATCTACAAAATAACCAGTTCATGGCAACCTTTGCACGTTATCCTGAATCACTGATTCCTCAGGATATTGACTCAAACTTCATGGAAATTCAAAAATCTTTTGCTACGTGTATGATGGAAATCAATAAATTAAAATGACTGCAACAAAACAAACAACACTATCTGCAACAACTTACATTACTGCAACAATAAAACCAACAACTGCAGGCGCAACGATTTCCGAAGCACCATAACCGCAGCAGACCAAGATCACTGACGCCTACATGCATTGGCATCTGTTATAATCACCAAAGGTTTGACAACGAAGCAAAATACTGCACCTCTACTTGCAAAGTCGTTTCAACAACAAACCAGAAAAACTAACGTTGGTGTTTTCAGTAGGAACAATGAATAACAGCAACTCCATACTAAAAGAGCTCCGACTACACATTTACGACAACACAACCGAACAGAAATTCCTGATTGACTCTGGGTCAATCGTATCCATACTACTTATCAAAAAATTCCGTAAAAATCGAAGTATTGACCCATTTACACTCTACGCTGCAAATTCATCACAAATAAATACATACGTCGCCAAAATCATCAAACTTGATTTAAATCTCCACAGAGATTTCACCTGGTCTTTCATCATCGCAGCAATCATTGGAGCTGACCTCTTAACTCACTACAACCTGTTGATTAACTTAAAATACCAACAACTGATTGATCCAGTGACTGTAGTGGAAGTACAGCATTACGGCATCTTAGTTCAGATGTGCCTATAAGTTCAGATTTGCCTATTAAGTATGCTGAATTCTTAAAACAATTCATCGAGATTACTAGGCCAATCATCAAGCCATGCTTAAATTCAAAAGCACGCGCATATGAGCACAAAATTACTATAATCCAACAGTCATTGCATGAGCACGTAAATTAACCGGTGAAAAGACAGCGGCGACAAAAACTCAAATCAGAAAACTTCTGGACTCCAGAATCATTAGACACTACAGCAGTATGTACGCTAGTTCTATTCATATGATACAAAAGAAAGACAACAACTGGAGAATGTGCGGAGACTACCGTAAACTCAATGATGCTACTTATCCATGACAGTCCGCCGCTCATCCAAGATTTCTTTCCACGTCTACACAACAAAAAAGGATACAGCAAAATCGACTGCGAAAAAGCATACCTAGAACTATTTATTCACGTGGAGGACATTGAAAAAACTGCCGTTATAACTCCATGGAGTTATTACGAATACCTAAGTATGCCCTTTGGTGTAAAAAACACCACCCAATCATACCAATGATTTATGGATGTACTCTTTAGAGACCTGGACTTCGTGTATGTCTACGTAGATGATATTCTGGTATTCTCGGACGACGAAGATCAACACCTGAAATACGTATGCATCATACTCGAATTAAAACACAACAACCTTATTATCAATCTCAAAAAACGTCTGTTCAACCAAAAGGAGATCAATTTCCTGAATTACACAATTAATAAACATAATTACATTCCAATGTGCGAACGAGTTGATGCCATTAAAAGATATCAAAAACCTGACATTATTGCTGCACTCCGTAGATTTCTTGGTATGATCAACTCCTATGACCTCTGTATACCTTAGGCAGCTCAAATCATGCTTCCTCTCAATAGTTACCTTAAAGAAGCAATAAAAAATATAAAACCAAGATTGCATTGACTCCTGAAGCCAATGAGATATTTGAAATATGCAAAAACACATTCGCAACAATCACATTGCTCGCTTTTCCATCTTCAAACGAACTAATGGCTCTCACAACCGATGCATCCGCAACTGTCATTGGAGCTAAACTAGAACAGTTGGAAGGTGATACCTGGAAACCCATAGAAATATCTTCAGAAAACTGATCCAGACAGAACAGAAATACAGCACATACGATCATGAATTCCTTGTTATTTTTGCATCAGTCAAATTTTTTGATCTCTTGCTAAATTGCCATCAATTTGTCATCAAAGCAGACCACAAATCACTCACTTTTTCCTTCAAACAAAAACTGGATAAAGCATCGGAACATCTATTACGACAACTCAACTACACCTCATAATTTTCCACTGACATAGTCTATGCAAAAGGTGATAACAATACAGTCGCAGGTGCATTATATTAATACCATAAATATGATATCCATTCTCACACCTCTTGAAATCCAACAAGCACAACTGAACTAGCTGATCTGATCAGAGACTCAATCTCATTGAAACTACAAAAACTCACGCTAGAATCACGAATCAGCATCTATTGTGACGTTTCGACAGGATTTATCAGATCATACTTATCAGAACTATTACACAAGACAGCTTTCAAAGTCATTCACAATCTCTTACATCCTAGCGGCCGAGCCCTATCTCTAAATTTACGCAAAAAGTATATTTGGCCTGAAATCCGTAAGGACGCACTTAATGGTCTAGAGAAGGTCTTAGTTGCCAACGGGCAAAAATTCACCATTACAATAAGTTAAGCCAAACCACATTGACGTACCTGATAACCACTTCAACCACTCACGTGGCCAGCATTTCATAATTCACTTGGACATCATCTATCTATCGAAGGTCAAAGACTATTAATATTGCTTAACTATCATTGATTGCTTCATCAGATGGTTCGTAGTCTCTGAAGGACATGATAACAGATACCATCATTACTGCACTCTACGAACATTGGATCTGTCATTATGGTACACCAATAAAAATCACATCCGATCAAGGAACTCAGTTCGAGTCAGTGCTTTTCTAAATTCTCGCTCAACTCGTGGGAGCAAAAAAAACTTGGACGACATCCTACCATCCTCAATCCAATAAAATTGTCGAGTGGATGCACAAGACTCTCAAAACAACACTGATGTGTTCCTCTAAACCATGGACGGAAATCTTATGTAAAGTATTATTAGGTTTAAAAACCAGCTCTAAATCTGACATCCAAGCCACCCCGGCTGATATGCTATATGCTATTCACATTCTATATGGTACCTATATACCAAGTGAATTATTCGTTACTGAATAACAATTTGAGCCACAAATCTTCTAGGAGAAACACAGAGAATTCATGGGTGGACATAGACTTACACCAACTGCTCACCACAATAAAGCCATGATCTTCATTTTAAAAGATCTTGACATCTTTTTTCATATATTCCTGCGCTGTGATTACTAAGCGTAAGCTCCACTAGATGCACCATACACTGATCCATATAAGGTTACCGACTGGGTATTCAAAATTAACATTAACGGAGAAGAGAAAATCATTTCAATAGACAAATTGAAACCTGCATACATCAGCTAGATTGATGATGATCAACCAGACTCTTCACCAGATCAACAAACCCAACCATATCACTGGGGTTCCATTACAAATAAACCTAAATGAACTTACACGTAAAGTCAATTTTAAACTTTTTGCCGAAAACCACTTTGGGGGAATGTTCGTGGCGATCTCGTTATAACTGTTACACCTCCTCTGACAAGATACATAATTAAAACGCCTCGGCGTATTATCAGAAGCACACGTGAGAAGCCAACAAAACAAAGAAAAAGACAACAATGAAGCCGAAAATAAAGGGGACAACAAAAGATGCCAGGAACAAAAAAGAAATCATTTTTTATTTCTTTGATTCTTCTTGAGACCATAGCTGCTGAAAGTGATAGTCTGATAAAATTACTGCGTATTTGACAAAGTAAAATAAATATATCATAATTATTGCTGTGCAAAGTTTCTTTTTCCATAGTGGGTTGTCCACGAAAAATCCACAACATGGAGTGTCATTTCGACGGCAGTCACGCATCATACAAAGAAGGAATATTAGTTATCAAGATCTTTTCTATTGTAATTATTATTGTTATTGTGTTCTGTAATTGTAATAAAGTTTACATAAAAACAAGAAAAGAATAACCTTGTCATGCCAAACATCCATAACTATTAATCAAGAAACTAAGAAAAGTGATGTTTTTATTTCGTGATATGCAATTAAATTGTAGTTTATATTGTAATTACAAAATAAAAAAAAAATGTGTAAGAATAAAGAAGAAAATGAGTAAAGAAAGAAAGAAAGAGGCAAAAAATAAAAGAATGAAAAGATAGACAGAAAAGAAACCATTTGTATAGCAATATGCAACGAAAAGTTTATCTCATTATACATATATACAGTATTTCGAAGTCTCCTGGAATTTATTCGAAATGAAATACTAACTCAAAAAATGTTAACTGAGATGAGAACTAACTAAAAATGTTAATGAAAAAAATTAAAATTCTTAAACTACCTTCAATGATCGCATTATCAACATTGAAAACATAACATTATGTAAATATTTATATCTCTCAGAGTATAATAAAATTATTGATATATATGATGAACGTAAGATATAAATTAATTACTAATAATAATAATTAATTTTTTATAAATGCATTTTATTACAACTTGAGAAATAATTATACTTACAGATTTGTTATGTCCACTATTGGTACAATACAGATATTAAAATAAGTGATCTACAATGCATGCACAACATATATCGTAAAATTTTATTTTTATCATTAATTTTGATAGTATTTTACATAAAGTTTTTCTGTTGATTATTTCAACAAAGTATGCCATCGATTCAAAGAATACTGATCAAATAATATAATGATTATAAGCAATAGGAAAAAAGGCATTAATGTTAACTATAATTCTATATCTTCTACATTTTCTAATATGCAATAATTCTATCACTGATCTTTTTTTATTTTAACTGAAATGCATCGTATGATATTATTATAAATTTATTAACAGGTATGTATTTTTATATAAATCTATTATTAAAATAGAAAATGATTTTTGCATTTTGCGTTTTAGCATCTTGGAATAATAAATGATAGATTTCAAGAATAGAAATGTGATCATTGAAAGAACTAGAATGATGAATACAGGGAATATTTTGAAACAATCTATAAAGCTAAAAAAATTTGGTATAACTTAGTGAATTTATTTTTAATTAATTTTATGTTCTGAAGTAATAGTTACAACAAAATTACTTAATGTAACATTAACTTTTTAAAATTAGAATACCTAATTTTCTATTAATGAAATTAAAAAATAATTTCATTATTTTCAAAATTTAGAAGATTCTCTTGATTTTTTTTTTTTTTAATTCAATAAGAAATAGACAGTACGAATGAAACAGTTGATGTATTAAAATAGATACAAGCATTAATATGTTGCATTGTACAAAAGATAAATAAACTCATTATTTCTCTTGTTTTATCATAAATTTCATTTGAAAATAAATGATATATTTGTTATTTTGTAACTGACATTGCTGTTTTCACAACAATTTTTAACTTTCTATAAAAGATTGTTGAAATATATCAGATTTGAAGACCAGTACTTTGACCTTTATAGCAAGGTCCGAAAAGTTGAATAGGTAAGGGAAAAAAACAATTTCTTCAAGAGCTTTTTCAAGAATATTCTAGATGTTTTTTCCATCTTTCATCATTCTATCCAGATTTCTCTTTTTTTCTTATAAATTTTTTTTTGTTATTAATTCAATGATGAATTTTCTATAAAACCGGTTTTATATGTTGGCTAGTTGCATATTCTTATTTGATTATAACAATTCATCACTGACTTTGGTTGATCTCTGAGTATATGGAGCTTGTTCACACAAGCCATAGCAATAGATATAGATGATATACTACTAATAAAATTTGTACTCAAAATTTTATTTTAATTTTAATAATGTATAAAATAAATAATTATATATTATAAATGAGAAAATAACTTTCATCTACAATTCTGTGATTTCTGATTAGAGATAGATGTCCATAATTCCAAACTTGAATTATAAATGCCATGTCCAAATGAAAAACAATTTTAATTTTGCGTAATACTGATTTTCTCAAACATAAATTATAAGAATTGATCCACTATTTCTATATTTGGTGATAACAATATTTTTGCATCTTCCAAATGTCTGTGTCAAATACACAGTGAAAAAAATTTTCTTTCTTATCGTTAAATAAGTAAACAATTTTTCTTAATTAGTCATCTATGAAATCACACAAGAGACCTAGACATAAAGATACTATTCAGAAGTATCATTTATATATACATACATACACATATACACAATGGTGCATTATATATACTACACATTATAGATACACTATTTGATGAAAACAATTATTGTTGATAATAAGTTAGGATCACAGAACAATAGGTTCGAGTAAAGAAATAGAACATTCTATAAGGTTATTACTTCTTTGTTCTACTACGCGTCCAAGAAAAACAGTGTTAAGGCAGTATGAAAAAAAGACAATGAAAAGAAGGCAAATTAATGTCAAAAGTGTTTATATTTTTAAAAGAATAGTTTGAGGATAGTTGAAGATTCGAGATAGCGAGAATAATGCAAATTATTGAGAATACATATACTGCGAGATATTATGAATAATGTGAATTAAATTTAGTGATTTTAAAGATTTTGAAATCGTTATTTTTTTTTTTTATTATTATGTTTATTTATTTTATTATATTTAAGTAAATTCCATT